TTGAGATTAAGGTGAGTCAGGGAAGGTGAGACTGCAGATTTTGGGTTTGGCCTTGGTGGACCCAGGCCTCAGGATCTTACCTGAAGCCTTTGTGGAGAGTATGGTGCCGCTGCAGGATGGAGCAAGGCCGAGCTCCCTGTGCTTTGTCTTGTAGGTTTGCATCGTATTTCCCAAACACCAACATCAGCCTGTCGTCCTTGCAGATCTTTCGGGTGTTCAGAGCCTTGAAAGCAATCTCAGTGGTTTCAGGTAAGTCACCACTGTAACTTTCAACATGGACTAGCTCCTAGCTGGAGAGAATGTCCTTTCGTATTTAAATGTTTTGAAATGTCACCACGTGAACCAAAAACAAACTCCACTTTGCTCGCTTATTTGTCAGTGAGTATTTATTGAGCACTTAATATGCCCAGGCATTGTGCTGGCCGCTTGGGATAGATCAGTGAGCAAACAGACCAAGATTGCTGTCCTCATGGAGTTTACATTCTCGGTGGGGGTGGGGAGACAGACACTAATCAATAACTGTAATAAATAAGCAAATTGTGTTGCGTGTTAGAAAGTGATACATGCTATGGAAAAGTAGACAACATAAGGAGCCCTGGTGGCACAGTGGTTAAAACGCTCAACTGCTAACTGAAAAGGTCAGTGGTTCGAAACCACCAGAAGCTCCGCAGGAGAAAGATGTGGCCATCTGCTTCCGTAAAGATTACAGCCTTGGACGCCATATGGGGTCGTTATGAGCTGGACTCGACTTGACAGCAGTGCGCTTGGTTTTTTGGTCTAGACAACGTGAGGGCTATTGGAAGTCCCAGGGGTCGGGGACAGTAGGTTGCAATTTTAAGTAGAGTGGTCAGGATAGGTGTCATTGAGAAGGTGAGAGAAGATATGGGGAAGAGTGTTGGGAGCACAGGAAGCAGTTGGCGCAAGGACTGAGGAACAGCAAGGGTGCTGGAGCCGAGGGAGTGAGGCACCAGGTGGCAGAGATCTCAGAGGTAAAGGGGAGTTTGTAGGCATGGGAGGACTTGGGCTTGCTTCTGAGAGAAACGAGAGCCATGTGTATAGGAACCACATGATCTGACTCATGTTTTGAAAGGTTCAGTCTGGCTGTTGTGTGGAGAGTAGAACGTAGGGGAGCAAGGGTAGAAGCAGGAAGACCAGGTAGGAGGTATGGTGGCGCCATGGAAATGGTCTGCTCAGATCTCCTGCTGTGGAGAGCTCAGTTGACTGATGGTCCCAGCTGAATCCGTACCACATTTGCACTCATGCAAAGGCCACACTTACCCTGCATGGCAGGGGTACTAGTGCAGACCCATTCCTGCACGATGCCAGACCCCTGTAATGGAGAGCTTTGGCTCAGAGACTCCCCACCAACCTGCCTGACACTCTTACCTGCACAGTACTCTGAGATGCTTCCCATTCAATCCCTCTTCTTTTCTTCTCTCCTTTCTCAGATGTCAGATCTACACTGCAGTCTGAAGCCTCTCCCTGCACAGTCCCGCTGTCTCCCCTTTATTCCTCACAGGCGTTTCCCCCAATAAATCTCTTGCACATCTAATCCTGTTTGGATGTCAGCTTCTCGGAGAACCCAAACTGACATAGGAGTCAACTGCCATCATCTGAGCAAGAGGTGGCAGTTGTCTCAGATCAGGTGGTGGTAGTAGAGTTGGTGGAAAGTGTCGGATTCTGCAAACATTTGAAGGTAGAGAGCGTGGGGTTTCCTGATAGATTGATTATATGTGTGATGTGAGAGAAAGAGAAGAGTCAGGGATAACTCCAAGGTTTATAGCCCGAGTGACAGAAAAGATAGAGTCATGAATGAGATGGGGGTAGTGGGGAAGGAGCAGGTTTGGGGAGTAAGATTAGAAGCTAGTTTTGGACATGTTGAATTTGAGGTAATTGTTAGATATCCAAGTGAAGACATTGAGTAGGAATTGGACACATGAGTCCAGAGCTCCAGGGGGAAGTCTGGGATGGAGATATCAGTCTAGAAATCATGAGCCTGCAGAAGGTTTTTATAAAAACAGTATGGGAGACGTGCCTGACCTCCTCCAACCCCACAAGGGGGGAGGAGAACCAAGATCAACAGCGTGAGACTGACTCCCCTGAGGTGGAGGCCAGACAAGCCTTCTCTCTCCACCATCTTTACCAATTCTGACACCAACCGTCCCTCCCATGGCACTCTCTACTTCTCTACTGGGTTCAATAATTCATTATAATGGCCACACAGAACTCACAGACCATACTCACGATTATGGGGTTTATTAGGGAAGTAACAGGTTACAGTTCAGGCTCAGGAACACTCAAGGATACAGTGCTTCCATCAGGACAGCCTCTTCCCAGCCTCTCCCTCGCCCTAGGCCTCTGCCTGTAGGCACTCAGCTTTCCCTCTTCGTGGGCTGGGAAGCCCACCATGCCATCTCCTGCTGCCAGGTCTCTTCTGCCATGGATTCTCAACATCTTCAGGGTTACAACTCTCTCTCTCTCAGTTTCCTTGTTCCAGGAGCTTCTCAGTGCAGGGATCCTGGATCCAAAGGACATGCTCTCTGCTCATGGCTGTTCTTCCTTGGTGGTGGTGGGGTTTTTCTCCTTCCTGCCTCTGGGGTCACTCATTTCAAGCCCAGCGGGATGGCAAAACTCACCAATCCCTTTCATGGGCCACAATTACCATATCTGCACAGTCCCGCCCAATCACTTGGGAGGGAGTTACAAGACCATGGCTAGAAAGGCCACACAAAAGTGATCCTTGGCACCAAAGTATTTAAAGTCATGGAGCCTGATGAGATCACCAAGAGAGTGAGTATAGATGGTGAATGGAAGAGGCCTGAGGACTGAGCCCTAGGGCACTCCAACATTTAAAGGAGAGAGGAGAAGAAAGAAACCAGAAAAGATGAGCGGGAGCCACCAGTGTGGACTCCTGGAAGCCAGGTGAGGAAGGTGCTTTATGAATATGAATTCCAGCTTATCAAATGAAGTTATTATGGCACATCTGTATCTTCTTCTTCTCTCTTCCTCTCTTTCCTGTATTTAAAACAAAAATCCCTCTGGAATCCACTCATCTCCTCTCTTTCTCTTCCCTCCCCTTCTATTCTCTTTTATCAAAGGCTTTGGCAAATCATGAAAAACCATTGGAATTATTTGCTTCCACTGATTGTATAGACTTAAACTCTACCATATATCCCCAATACCAAATCTTCAGGTAATTTGGATCCTTTCAAACAGACAGAGTAGATTATTTTTTGAAACTCCAGACAATTGTGCATAATGATAAAGAAGCTGTCAGTCAGAGGGGATTTTATGTAGAATTCATCTCTCCTCTTCCTTCCTCTTTTGCAAGTAGGACCTCAGTTTTCCCAGGTGAATTTAGGACTTTTCTACATGATCCGAGTCCTTCATATTTCATACAGTTGAAATATATATTCAGCTAGTCACTTAGATTCAGTACCTCCTTCTTCATCTCTAAGGAGGTGAACATAGTCTCCATTTTGGCCCGTGAAACACACCGAGAATCCTGGATGTTTTTTGGAAATAAGGGTGTGAGGTACAGTCTTTTATGGGACTTTGTAAAAATCTTATTCAGGAATCACAACTATCTTCCATCTCAATCTTTTTGCTTTGGAGAAGACTCAAGCCTCTTATTATAGATTCAGATGTTGCCTGGATGAGATTACAGTAACCTCTGGTTTGGCTGAAGTTGGAGACTTAAACAATCTCTTAGCTTGACCTCAAGAATCCTCCCCAACTGGCATCACACTTTGTGGGAAGCCTTATTGCTTAGTGTACTTGCCTGCTAACTGAAAGATTAGCAGTTTGAACCCTCTAGCTGCTCTGTGGGAGAAAAAACCTGGTGATCTACTCCCCTAAAGATTTCAGCCTAGAAAACCCTATAGGGCAGTTCTACTCTGTCCTGTAGGGTCGCTATGAGTTGGAATGGACTTGACAGCACACAACAACAACATTTCATTGAACACTGCCATATATTTGCAGCTCTTCTACCTGCAAGTCTGCCATTCAGGGTCTACACTGATGAGTTGAAATTTTGTCATTTAGTGCCATCCCACATATTGCAGTTCACATCTGGGAGCTTATCTGGAGAGATATCTTGAGAGCAAAGACAATGACTCAATGTTGTGCAGGAGATGGCTCCTTCTGGCTCCCCAGCCGATTGTGGACACTTTTCCCCAACTCCATGTTCAGTGATGCCATGCTGGTAGCTTGAAATTGGCCCTGGAGTTGGGGTGGAGCGTATTAACTCCATGGAATTCAGCAAACAGGGTAACTTGTAAACCCTGCGGATCAGGGCTCCTCCGCCTCCCAAAGAGCTGCTTGTTACACATTTTTCAGTTCATCACAAGATTAAACAAAACAAACAACAACAACAAAAAAAACCCAAACCCACTGCCGTTGAGTCAATTCTGACTCATAGTGACTCTACAGGACAGAGTAGAACTGCCCCATAGAGTTTCCAGGGAGCGGCTGGTGGATTCAAACTGCCAACCTTTTGGTTAGCAGCTGAGCTCTTAACCACTGTGCCATCAGGGCTCCAACCACAAGATTATATCTTTCTTATTTTGTAATTTGGAAGCCCAACAGTGTGCCATAGACATAGTAGGTGCTTGGTAAATACTTCCTGAATGAATGGAAAAAAAAAAAATTATTACTGGCAAACTGAGTTTTTACTCCCAGGACATCTTTATTATTTGGGTCCAGACAAAACTCCTCATTCCTGTTCCCCGTGCCCCAATTTAGTTGTGTCTCATGGCACCTCATGTACCCCGATGGAAGTACAGAATGCTAAACATACTGGTCTAGCTCATCATCTCGTGTGGCCTCCCTTGGGTCTTAATGCTGTATGTGACCCCCGGCTGTGGAAGTGCCTTCACAATTGTCATCAAGTTACGCCATATGTCCAGATTGCATGCTCCTCACCTGCTCCTCAGAGCAACCCTACTCCAGGCACAGAGCAAGGAAGAGGGGGCTGAGTTTCAAAGTGCTTGGCCGTTTTGAGGACACACAGCTTCTAAGGCACAGAGTTGGAATTACAAGTCAGAGCATCAGAGTTTTAGGCCAGGCTGACTTCCAGTTTCAGCTGCCATCTGACAGCTGTCTGGCTGCTCCTTCGTTCCTTCTTTCCCCTTGTCCTCCTCACCCCTGTCATCCTCCTCAGGGTTAAAGGTCATCGTGGGGGCCTTGCTTCGCTCTGTGAAGAAGCTTGTTGATGTGATGATCCTGACCCTCTTTTTCCTGAGCATCTTTGCTTTGGTTGGTCAGCAGCTCTTCATGAGAAGTCTAAACCAGAAATGTGTCAGGATGGACTGTCTGAATAGAACTATTATCGAAGACAAAGGTAAATACCCCACCTTTCACTCTTTGGTTTCTCATTGTGCATGGTTAACTTTATTTGTCCCTACTCATCCCCTCTGCAGATCTGTAGAACAGAGTCTCCTAGGAGCAAGAGATGACTTCATTGATCCAGGGTTCTCATGCAGGCAGGTGAATTTATTAGAGAGTTGCTTCATTCTGTGGGTTCCATGGAGAAGGAAGAACCCAAAGCTACACCCACAAGGGTAGTGTCAGCTCTCATCCATTCCCATTTAGAGCTCTGTCTCCTTCTTTGTCATGTTTTGCAGAAGTCTTCAGAATGCCAGGAATTGGCCAAAGGGAACTAAAAACTTCCCAGGCACCCCTCGTCAAGTATTTTCTCTGGGGATATCACTGTTTTCTGTGCCCCACCCTCTCCACACTGAGGTCAACCCTACATGGTCCCAAATCTCATGTGACTACACTAGGTTTATGTGCATCTTGGTTTCTGAGCTTCTCATGAGCTGTATCTGTGTCCACCTACCCCCTGAGGGTGGTCCCTGGTTCAGTGTTACATATCATAGAGCAGGGTAGTGGTGGTGGTGATGTCACTGCATCTTCTTCCCGTTTCTCCTTACCCTGCTCCATCCCCCTTTCTCTTGCCCCTTTCCGGAGGGCTTAAGACCCAGTTCCTCTCTGGGTAAGTACTTTGATCATCGTAGTGTATTCAGAACCATCTTTGTCAGCATAATCTGGCATGTTTGCTATTCTCTGTCCTTTCAGTGCTTTTGTATCTGAATTTATGACTTTTTTCTTCTCAGACAATTGTTTTGAAAAAAAAGGTAACTCTACTGAAGACAAAGTGTGTAACATCTGGGAGGGTAACAGGTAAGAGGTTTACCGTCTCCATTTGTCTCCCTGTTAGAACACCTCTAGACTTTTAGAAATGAAGTAGCAAACGGTTTTCCTCTAATGATTTGTGGAAGCAGTGATGATAGTTCTCAAACAGTACTGACAATTTCATGCTACTTAGCAAGTATAGACCTGCCTTACTAAATTAAAAGTTATTTCTAAGTGTTAGAGCAGTTATGGCGAATTCATAGCTTATAAGAACCACCCTTAAAACTTATGATATTTCACCTTGATGGAGTGGATATTCAAGACTTTCAAAGGTGAGAAAGAACTTTATGACAGAGAGCCCCACACAGTACTTATTTCCTGTTCAGTGGCATGGCCCTGATATAAGACCACCTAAGCACACTTCTTCTCTTTGCTGATCTGTTGACCACCACTGCCTCTAATATGTACATGGGATATGTGCCTTGACACACACGCACCCCAACGGCTGGTAGACAGATGGCTTTTGGGGGTAACTTTTCCTTCTTCCATATGTCAGTGCTCTTTGTCAATTGAGAGATTTAGTTCAGTGAAGATTCAGATTAAGTTAATATGCTAGGCACTCTGATGAAATAGACTACACTCATTTCTCAATAACAAACCATAATCAGGAGCTTACAGCACGCCGAGCTCTGTGTCAGGCCCAAGAAATACAGTTATGAACAAGGCAGCACCTACCTGTTGAAACTGACATCTGGTTGGAAGATCTGAAAAACCAAACCTGTTGCCATCAAGTCAATTCTGACTCATAGCGACCCTACAGGACAGAGGAGAACTGCCCCATAGGGTTTCCAGTGCTGTAATCTTTACAGAAGCAGACTGCCACATCTTTCTCCCACAGAGCAGCTGTTGGGTTAAAATTGCTGACCTTTCAGTTAGCAGCTGAGCACTTAACCATTGCACCACCAGGGCTTTTGTTGGGAAGATAGATGTAGAGTAAACGCTCAAAAGTGAGATGAGTGTTATAAGGTAGAAGAGACATACAAGGGATGTAACCCTGTCTGGAGACTTAGGGAAGACTTCTCTAATGCCACCAGTGATGGTCAGAGGTTCAGGTTGGATCAAACTCACAAGATATAGTAGGCTTTGATCCAATATGAGGTTTACTGAGCTTTCCAGTACGATACCTGACAGGACAGTCTGCATACGCAGGTGTCTTCATCTTAACGGGAGACCTAGCAGCTGCCAATATACAGTGCCTCTTTGACCCCTCACCCACACAGAGCATGCATGGTTACTGTGGACAAAATCTGGGGTGTGTGTGGACCACCTAGACACACAGGAGAGAAGCCCTGGTTTCCACCTGGTCTTTTATGTTGTCACTGAACTTGAGTACCAGTCACAGCTTTCTTGGTCTAGGTGCAATCCCAAAGCTGAAGAGTTTTATAGTCAACCAACTCCTAGTATCCAACATTCCACATTTAGCATAATCAGTAGTTTCTAAGGACATGGCACACTGAGAAGGCAGACCCAAGGTTACCTTCCCAGGCTGGCCTAGGTCTGTTCAGAGACCAGGCTTGGTTTTCGCCCTCTGCTTATTGCTTCCCTTCCTGAGGGCTCGGTGACCAGTGACCTTACAACTCAGCTCTGAAGTATGAGTAGGAGATTTAAGTAGGGAGGGAATGGAGAAAATAATTCCAGAGAGAAGGAACAGCAAGGATGAAGGCCTGGGAGCATGAAGCATGAAGGGGGTAGTTAGAAGCCCAATGGCATGTTGGGGAGAGGAGGGAGACAGGGGCTGACCATGCAGGGCCTGGTAGCCCATCCTGCCAAGAATTTTTTTTTTTTTTAAAGCAAAAAGAAAGGCAAGAGTGGGAAACAGAGAACTATGCTGCCAGAGCCATGTCTGCCCAAGTCCAAGAAAATATCACAGAACAGACAAAAGTGGGAAAATGGACAAGCATGCTGCTAGAGCCATGTCTGTCCAAGTCCAAAGAATATTACAGAATACGCAAGAACGGGAAAACGGACAAGCATGCTGCCACAGCCATGTCTGCCTGAGTCCAGAAAACATTACAGAGTCATCAGTATATATTAACATTACAAATGGGCAAAACCAAGGAAATCTTCACCTTTTCACAGATTGGCTAGAAACTGTGATCCTACTTTTTGAATTGCCTTTCTTAACAGTCATTGGTACAGGTTTCAGTAACAACAGTCAGGAGGGTCTTCATTGGTCCAACAATTTTCTATTCTCTAAATGTTAATAGAAAAAGATGAGTGGAAAGTCTTTTGTGTTCTGTTTGATTCTGTCCTGCCAAGAATTTTGACCTTGATCATAGAGGAAATAGGAAACGTGGAAAGGATTTAACGAAGGGGAATGACCTGAACAAATCAGACATTTTAAAAGTCACTATGGCTGCTGTGTGGAGAATGGATGGATAGAGCAGATCAGGAAACTACTTGGTAGGCTGTGTTGGCACAGTGAGAGTTACGACTCTGTACAGTGGATATGAAGACAAATGGAGGGATGAATTCCAAAGATATTTAGGAGATAGAAAGAACAGGACTTGTAGACTGAAGAAGGGTGTTGGACTATGTGTGTGCAAGTGAGTTGTGTATGAGAATGTATAGACATTTATTTTGTTTCTGGTCTGAGCAGCTGATGATGCCTTTTGCTGAAGTGGGAACGCTGGAAGAGGGACAGGATGAAGAGAGACTTGATCACCTGTGTATGTTGATGAGAAGGAACATCCAGAGATGAGGAGATTGGGGGTAGGAGGGAGGCATATATTTTTAATGGTGACCAGGCAATGAGGGAAATGAAGTATGGTGGGTTCATCCCCAACAGGCTCCTGGGGGATAATGGGCCCTGGGACTTCGCAGAATTTTGTTCAAGTCTGGTGGGAAAGGCAGCACAACTGCTGCCTTCCTGCTCAGTCACCCTAAAGCAAAGCCTGCCACTCACTAAGTCCTCCCGAATCAGCAAGCCCCCAATCAGCTTGTTAGTACCTCTGATTAAATGTGACTAAACAGCTTTCTGGTGTTGACAACCTCCCCACGCAAACATGCCTCTCACAAAGGCCCTTCATCCCTCTCCAGAAGAGGAGAGGAAACACAAGAAGAAGTGCCTGGTGCAGAGCCCTAATTCCTACTTCACGGGGTGAAATGCCCAGGATGCTATGAAATCACCACGGTCTTTAGCCATGCTCAAACAGTAGTTTTGTGTTGACTGCTCCATGGCCCTCTGCCAGTCTACACGAGGAAAAGCAAGGCTTCCAGAAGGATGATCCTGCAGATGGAAGCAACACTAAAAGTACCCTGAATCAAGATGAGTGGGAAACCATCCCAAGAAACACGTTCTGGATACCAAAAAAAAAAAAAAGGTGACTGAACATCCAGGCTTATCAAGCATCTGAAGAAAGCCTTTGATTTACATAAGGTCAAGATAAAGAAACAGAAAAAAAAGTAGCTGTGGGCAAAACAGCAAGAATTCAAAGAACAAAAAGGGCTTTCACAACTTTAAATAAGATCCTCAGTGAAATTAAAAATGATACTGTATACATAAAACAAAAATAAGATGTTATGAAAAAGGGTCAGAGAACAAGAAAGATCCATCAGAAATTAAACATGACTATAAAAAAATCAGTAATAGAATTAAAAGTTAAGGAAATAGCCCAGAAAGTAGAAACAAAAAGACAGAGGCAGAAAATATGAGAAAAAATGTAAATCCATAAATTCCAACAGTGGACTTAGTAGGAATTCCAGAAATAATACAAGAGATGATACAAGAGAATTTCCCTAGGATTAAGGATGGAAGTCCCTGACAGCCCACAAAGTGCCTGATACAATGAATGAAAAAGCAGTGTGTCAAGTGCATTATCATGGCATTTCAAAACTTCGAGGGAAAAAGATCTTAAAGTCCTCCAAAGAGAAAAAGGAGGTCACCCACAAAGGAACAAAAATCAAATGACATCAGAACTCTCGACAGCAACGCGGGATACCAGATAACAGCTGAGCAGTGCCTTCATATTTGTCAGGAAAAATGATTTTCAACCCAGAATTCTATTTCTGACTAAAATGTAAACCAGTTGTGAAAGTAGAATAAAGATATCAAAGATTCCCTAATCTTAAGAGGCTACTTGAAGACGTGCTTCAGAAAAATGAGGGACTACACCAAAAAAGAGCCAAGAAAAAGTGTATCCAGCCCAGCCCAGGAGAACCATTAACACAGGTCCCAGTAGTTCTCTGTGAAGAGCAAGAGAAGCACTCTAGTGATATCAAGAGTGATGAAGTGGGATGGAGGGAGGAGAAAGCTACTGGATCAAGACCAAAATTGAGAAATCAAATGTCAGTATAAGCACCATATTTAGAGACACGGAAGTAAAAGAGCTAAAAGTTGTTGAATTTGGGGTGTGGAAATGATGGTTGGAGTCCCTGGGTGGCACAGATGGTTAAGCGCTAACCCTACCTGTTAGAACCCATCCAGCAGTGCCTTGGAACAAAGGCCTGGCAATCTGCTTCCAAAAGGTCACACAGCCTTGAAAACCCTATGGAGCGCAGTTCTGCTCAGAAACACGCAAGGTCTCCATGAGTTGAAATCAACTTGACAGCAACTTGTTTGTTTTTTTGGAGTTTTAAAAGATGGTGAAAAGAGTGATACAGGTTTGGTTGCAAGTCTTTTGGTGCCATGTGATTTTTTTAAACCACATACGCATATTCCTTTGATAAAAAAAGATGTTAAAAAATTACAGAAGCACATACCCTTAGTAAGCCTATAGATACACTTAATGATGTGTGCTGTGGCGATGTGGGCAAAGACCTATGTGCAAAGATGTTCATTGCCCAAATGTTTGTAAGAGCAAAAGACTGTCAACAACCAAAACCTAAATACTCATCATTAGCAGACCAGTTAAATAATTCCTACCACTGTAAGTCACAAAAGGAAATGAGATCTCTCCCAGTATGCTGATATGGAAAGACCCCCAAGCTGGAGTGTTCATGAAAAAAAACAAGGCATGAGAAACTGTTCAAGGCATGCTCCCATATGTGTATTATAAAAAATACGTATTTAAATACATGCTTCTATATCCCTAGAAAACGTCTAGAAATTAACAAAAGTAACTGTTACCTGTTGTCCCTGGGAAGCAGGTCTGGAGGTCTGGGGAATGAGAGAGACTTTATACTCATTGAATACCCATCACTGCTAATTGTTCACCATGTGACAGCACTTAATTTTTTGGTTAAAAACTTGCTAATATGAATTTTTAATCAATCAGTTTGAAAAAGAGCCAATGAGAGCTCCCTTTAGAGTTTGGGCTGGGAGGCTTGATAGACAGGGGAGTGGGGAGGTCGGGGGGGATTGCTGCTCTATAAACACTCCCCTCACCCAGGGCTTCTTGAGTGAGCCCAGGGCCCTTTGAAGAACAAAAGGGAAGCGGGCTATGGGGAAAATAATTCTCTCTCTGTTCCCTTCTTTCTGATTTCTAGTTCCTGTTCTGAACAATTTAAATGCAACCACACCAAATATAATCCTGACTATAATTATACGAATTTCGACAGCTTTGGCTGGTCTCTTCTTGCCATGTTCCGGCTTATGACCCAAGATTCCTGGGAGAGTCTGTATCGACAGGTCATCTATTTATAATATCGATCTATATATCTATCTATCTGGAGCTCCGGTGGCACAGTGGTTAAGAGCCCGGCTGCTAACCAAGTGGTCGGCAGTTCAAATCCACCAGCAGCTCCTTGGAAACCCCATGGGGCAGTTCTACTCTGTCCTGTAGGGTTGCCATGAGTCGGAATCGACTTGATGGCAGCGGGTTTGGTTTTGGTTTTTCATCTGTCTATTGTCTACCTATCACTTACCTGTCTTTTTCTCTCTCATTTATTTATCACCTACTTTTATGGATTGAACTGTGTCCCCCGAATATATGTGTTGTAAATCGTAACCTGTGAATGTGATCCCATTTGGGAATAGGGTTTTCTTTCTTATGTTAATGAGGCCATATTATTGTAGGGTGTGTCTTAAGTCAATCACTTTTGAGATATAAAAAGAGCAGATGAGGCACAGAAGCAAGCAAGCACAGATGGGGGAAGATAGATGCCACATGGAGATCACCAAAGAACAGATGAACAGAAACTGAAAAGACCCAAGGACCTCCCCCTCCCCAGAGCCCACAGAGAGAGAGCCTTCCCCTAGAGACAGTACACTGAATTCAGACTTCTAGCCTCCTAAACTGTTAGAAAATAAATTTCTGTTTGTTAAAGCCACTCACTTGTGGTATTTCTGTTACAGCAGCACTGGGTAACTAAGACATCTACTATCTCTTCCCCATCTATGTCATCTATTCCCCATATTTAAGAGTCGTACTGTTGAATTCTGCTTTAGAAGTTCTGTTAGAAATTCCAAGAAAATTATAAATGTGATACTTGGAAGAAAAGTGCAAAAAAACTCCTCCTCCTAGAAATACTGGTTCTCTCCAGATTCCCTGCTGCCTGAAGCTCCCCTGTTAGAGCTTTAGTGTTCATAAAACATTGTTGTCTCTCTCGGTTTCTTGTTTAATGCAAACACCCCTGAGGAAGTAATAAAAAGTCTAGGATTTTCATGTGAACATACAAAGGTATCTCCCTACTGAGAGGCAGGTCACTAGGAGGCTCTGGGTGACTGTGGGGGCTGCAGACTCTGGTGCGGTCAGCTGAGCCATACTTACATTACTGCTCAGGACTGCCCCACAGAGGGAATCAGTGCTGGGGGAAGACCACTTTTCTGCTCCTGTATAATCTTCGCTTGAGGTGATGGTCAGCCCTCTGTCGAAGGATGGCTTCAGATGCAAGCATGTGCTCTGCCCCTTGCAGATCCTGCACGCCACTGGGCTCTTCTCAGTCTTCTTCTTCGTGCTGGTCATCTTCCTGGGCTCTTTCTACCTCATTAACTTAACCCTGGCTGTCGTCACCATGGCTTATGAAGAGCAGAACAGGAACGTAGCTGCTGAGACGGAGGCCAAGGAAAAGATGTTCCAGGAAGCCCAGCAGCTGTTAAAGGAGGAGAAGGAGGTAGGGACACATGGGGTTGGAGAGTGAAGTCTGCTCAGAGGTGACCCCAGAGGCAATGGAACCTGGGCTCAAGGCTGCTGTGTGAGGCCTAGTCTCAGTGCTCTCTCTGTGAGTGCTTGTCTTAGGCTGGGTTCTTTAGAGAAGCAAACCAGTGAAGTATCAATATGTAGGGAGAAAGAAAGAGAGAGATTTATATCAAGGAAATGGCTCACGCAGTTGTAGAGGCTGGAAGGTCCCAAATCCTCAGGTCAGGCTGGAGGCCTGGCAAAC